CTGTTTAAAATTAAAAGTATGATAACAATTTTTTTATTTAGAAAAAATAAATAGCAAAAACAAATTATATCTAAACAAAAAAGATAAATGCAACTTATATTAGAAATAAAAAATAAAACATTCTCGTGCGGACGCACGGGTTAAAATCTAGTAATTTCTTAAAATTCACTACCAAAATAAAAATCTAAACACTACATTAAGCGGTTCAGTATGACAAAATTATATTTCTTCCGCTATGTGTAGCCTTCATGAAAGGATAAGCTTCACTGCAAAGCTAACAAAAAACATACACATGTATATAGTTTTTTAAGGAAATTGATTACTTGCTTTTTACGTTGTATGATGTTCTTCAAAAAAAAAAGTTGTATGATGTTTTCATTTTTCGGTCTCACCACCTCCATCATTAAATCGTTATACACCACCTCCATCATTAAATCGTTATACAACACTGCTTGTCAACGTCGACAACACTTTGAAACTGTGAAGACACAGAAGAATACAAAACAGGAACATAATTCAGAAAATTAAAAGCCTTCTTAGCGACAGAATCTACCACATAATTTTCTTCTCTTGGATGGAACACAAGTTTGAAATCTTCAAATACCAAATTCCAAAGCTAGCTTCTTGATGTCGAGCTGAAGATATTGGTGTGCCATTCCACAGTATGTACTGAACCTTGAAATGGCTCTGGCTCCAACCCATTTCACTTCTTCTTTCCCATCCTTGAGAACCCAACATAGATCGCTTTGTTATGCATCACCTCTCCAAGATCCATCCATATTCTCAGTTGTTTGACGTGTATGCCTTGATTGTTTTGGAACAGAGTTCAGTTGTTTTTTACAGATTTCCTTTTCAAAACTGTTTAGAGAAAAGTGCAAAGGTGAATCAATATATAATAACGCCGGCCATGATCACAAATGTAAGCTTATATACCTTTCATATGAAATATATCCAAGCTTTGGGGTTGAGCATTAAATCCATCTGCTCAAGTCCTTCAGTTTTAGACTTTAGTGATGCAGTCCATTTTGTATGGGTCACCAAAGACTTGACTGATAAATATGACGGAGACGTTTTTTGGCTGATGGCAATCGATGCAACTCTCAATGATGGCAAGCAATTTTAGAAATGATATTACTAAGGATCGTTATAACACATGCTGGAATTTCTCTCTGAAATTCAACATAAAATCCGTTAAAATATTTTCAAAAGAAAGCACTTCAATACAAACAAACAATATATATCATATATATCCAATTGTATGGACTTTTACTCTGCATTTGTTCTATAATTTCACAAATGAATTCAATTCTTGTTTTCTTTTAATCTGACTTTCAAAGAATCTACTCTAATAAAAGTAGCAATTTGAGGATCCTAGAAGTGTCCACATCAGCCAGAAAAAGTAGTTCTAAAATTATGCTATGTCAGCACTACATGTACATAAGTAAATAGTATTTATTATATGTTCCTCACAAATTATGTGAATAATGTTGATCTAATAGCTATGAATCCATTTTTGTTTGGCACATAAATAGTCCACTAACAACTGATAAATAACAAGTCTTTAATTTGATGTAGTGCTCCTTCATTCGTAACTGTAGAAATGTGGAGAGTCATTTAACAAGTCATCTTTAAAGGTCCGTTATTCCATTCCAATTCATCAGAATATCCTACAAACTACTATAGATTTGTGCATAGGCAAGACTTCAGAGGTCTTTTCAAGAAATCGGGTGATTTTCCCAAGCTCAGGTAGAGGTGTTAATCTAAAAGTGGATCTCCATTGCTCTGTGAGATTCGCCAAGAGAAAAGGAATAAGAAACAATAAGGGTGTTCTCCAAAAAATGTCAACAATTCATTTCCAAATTTTCTAATTTTTGTGTTTGATGCTAAGCTGATGGGTTTCTAATGAAATTGATAATTTTTTTTATATTTTTACTTGAATCTACTGGAAAAGTGGAAGAGCTTAAACGAAAGGGTAAGTATGAGTATGACTGTTTTGATGTCAGGGTTGTATCTCATGTCTTCATATTTTTTTAATGTGTATTCTTTAGTCACACATGCGCAAAGGGTTATTTAAAACTTGAGAATTCCAACAGCTATTCTCTTCTTGCGTTACTTGGTAGTCGAATCGATCTGCCTTATATAGAGAACACTGAGTCAACACTTAGTGAAAACAGAGTTTTTACTCTGCCTACAAATGGGCCTGCGTCGAATAAGTCACAAGAGATGAAAGCTGAACTGGGCCTACAAGGAAGTGTTGAGCCCAAGTCCACACAAGCTGAAGTTCTCTCATCTTCCTCCAACGGTCATATCGGAGATAAGAACAAGCGGTCAAAAGCAGAGTCAAAAGGTGCTCGATGTACGGTTCCAGTCCAGGCGATAGCGCTACACAACAGATTTGATACGCTCGGATCGTGTGCCAATGATTAGAATAGGGCTACGTGTCTTTGTCTTTTTCCGTTTTGAGACTCTCTATATATTGAGAAGTGTTGTCATTGTATCGTTTAAGTAATTGAGAAATAAAGTATCTTTCAGCTTTTCTTTAGAGTTTTCACCTTACGCACCTTTGAAAAGAAAAAAAAGTCAACACTTAACTCATCTTCATTCTTCACTCAATCTTTTCCATTGAATGATTTTAATGGCCATTGGCCACTCACACCACCTCTCTCTCTCATAAGCTTATAAAATCAAAGTTGTAGGCTTATCTTAATTTCCAATAAGCAATGCAAAACATCTTCTACGTAATGTTTAATCGTCATTCGATGTCGTTATCATTTCGTCTCCAATGTTTCAACTCTGACATGAAGAAATCTGCTCATCAGAAATCAATGGGTCTTAAATCCAGAATGTATGTTCCGAGCATTCAATCACTCTGTCTCCAAAAGGTCGCCTCCAACTACCAAAATCTACACGAGTCTTTCAGTTAGGGTTTCAAAGTTGAGAGAGAGTAAGAGAGATGATAGCAAAAATACCGAATTTGATGCTGAGATTTTTTCACTTAGAGCAACTCGAGCAACTTTTGTGTCTATGCTGTTTCACCATTGTTAACTTGGTCATTCATTTTGTTTTATTTGCCGTGATTGTTTCTTATTTTTTTTCTCTTGGCGAATCTCACAGAGCAATGGAGATCCACTTTTAGATTAACACCTCTATCTGAGCTTGGAAAAATCACCCGATTTCTTGAAAAGACATCTGAAGTCTTGCCTATGCACAAATCTATAGTAGTTTGTAGGATATTCTGATGAATTGGAATAGAATAACGGACCTTTAAAGATGACTTGTTAAATGACTCTCCACATTTCTGCAGTTACGAATGAAGGAGCACTACATCAAATTAAACACTTGTTATTTATCAGTTGTTAGTGGACTATTTATGTGCCAAACGAAAATAGATTCATAGCTATTAGATCAAGATCATTTAACATCATTTGTGAGGAACGTATAATAAATACTATTTACTTATGTACATGTAGTGCTGATGTGGCATAATTTTAGAACTATTTTTTCTGGCTGATGTGGACACTTCCAAGAGCCTCAAATTGCTAGTTTTATTAGAGTAGATTTCAGAAGGTTTATTACCTTATCCATTTTTGTCCTGATCAATAATTTTGAATTAAGTGAACCTAAAAATAACATTACAAAAAAAAAATATTACGTTCGTACCAGTTTATTAAAGACTACTGATTTAACTCATTTTACAACCGACAAAATTAGAATGACACTAATTGTTCTTAAATGCTATTTAACAATTTATGATTAAGAATTAACCTTTTGCCATTCTTCATTTTCATTTTGTCTTCTGCCTTTGAAACGTCTTATGAGCCATTCTTTTTAGAAGTTTTAAAATTGAAGAAAGTGTTGAAACAATCGAATCGCCAAGAGATTTCAATGGATGCTGATGACAATTTCTATAGCGGCACCGAATACGCCGACAACGATTCCGATTACGCCGAAAGCGCCGACGCCGACTACGAGTTCGTCGAAGCTGACGTCGATGATTCCGATGACCTCGTTTTCCGCCGTCGCCAGGTTTTTTTTTCTCTTTTCTTCTCATCTTCTGGATCTGCATCACGCTGATATATAAACCAAGATTGAAGTTTATCTCGTTTTTGGATGATGAATCATCTCTTACCCTTACAGAGATGCATTTTTGTATTCATGTTTTTGGTTTCTCAAAATATAGAAATTTATAGATTTTTAGCTGATTATTAGCAGCAATCGCAATCATTCGCGATTAAATTGTTCTTTTGGGTTTTCGATTCTACTAATAGTTTTTTTGTTTTGTAATTTTTGGTTGTTTGTAGCAAAATTATAGTGTGCTAAGCGAGGCAGATATATGTCGGCTTCAAGAAGATGATATTTCCAGGATTTCTTCTGTATTGTCGATTTCAAGAATTTCTTCTGCTATCCTGCTTCGTTACTACAATTGGTGATTTCTAAATTCTGTTCTTTTTTTTTCAGACAATGCTGCTTTTGTTTTTCTCTTTAGACGAATTTCATTTGATTTTCCTGTCTTTCTTTGGCTCTTCTAATCCAATCCGGACTAATATTAAAGGAACTTAGCTTTTTTGGTTGATTATTTTTTGTCTATAGGATTGATAACAATCCTTTATGCGAATTTTTAGGTGTGTTAGTAGAGTTCATGATGAATGGTTTGCCAATGAGGAAAAAGTCCGAGATGCCGTCGGCTTGTTGGAGAAACCTGTTGTTGATTTTCCATCTGATGGAGAAGTATGCCTCCCATAGTTTCTTTCCAACTTTGTAAATTTATCTGAAAGAATTAAAGTTTAGTTTTTTATTTTACTTTTGTTTATACTTGGTTCCTTTCTCGTTTTGGCAGCTTGATTGTGGAATATGTTTTGAGACTTTCCTTTCTGAGAAATTGCATGCTGCTGCTTGTGGTCACCCGTTTTGCGAGTCATGCTGGGAAGGTTTGTTCCAAGCTTGATGCTTTTTTTTTTTTTAAGTAATGCAGCATATAAGCATTACAATTAGTGATGGTTCATTGTTGATGTTTCTGACTTTTTCCCGCATCTTTAGGTTATATGACCACCGCGATTAATGATGGTCCAGGGTGTCTTATGTTACGATGTCCAGATCCTTCTTGTAATGCTGCTATTGGTCAGGATATGATCGATTTGTTAGCTCCTGATAAAGATAGGGAGAAGTACAGAAATTATTTTGTCAGATCATATGTTGAAGACAATAGAAAGGTAAGCTGTCTATTTCAGTTTGAGCATACTTTAGACATGTGTATGATGGTTATCTGTCTTCTTTTAACCTTCAAATGAAAAACAGAGCATATTATGTGGTCACGGTGATTGTAATGCATCTTTTTTTTTCCTGTAGACCAAGTGGTGCCCTGCTCCAGGCTGTGACTATGCTGTAAACTTTGTTGTTGGAAGTGGTAATTATGATGTGAATTGTCGCTGTTGTTACAGTTTCTGCTGGAATGTAAGTCGCTCTTTCAGTGAGAATTAGAATAGTTCATCTTTCCATTTCGTAGAAACTAATTGACACAACCAAACTGGATGACTCAATCGTCATTGTACTGCAGTGTGCTGAAGAAGCTCACCGTCCTGTAGATTGTGACACCGTTGCTAAGTGGGTATTGAAGAATAGTGCTGAGTCTGAGAATATGAACTGGTACGTTGTTGATCTTTCAGATGTAGTTGAGATACGTAGATGCTTAAGATGTTTGAGATGTTGTGTGTGCCCGACCTTAATAAATGGGTGCTTAGAGTCTTAAAATAGTAATGGCTACCATTTTGTATTGCCAAAGACAGCCAAAACGGTGGATATGTTTACATTTTTAACTGGTAGAAGAAAGTCTATTCTGTTTCTTCTCATCCATGTAGCATTAGGGTGCATCATGCTTCGCATTATTTATTGTTGCTGCTAACCATGTTGATTGACTTTCAGGATTTTGGCAAATTCCAAGCCCTGTCCAAGATGTAAACGGCCAATAGAGAAAAACCAGGGTTGTATGCATATTACATGCACCCCACCATGTAAATTTGAGTTCTGCTGGTAAGTTGATAAAGTGGTTGATTGTACAGAAGGCCATCATTTCATAAATTCTGCTTTCCCTCTATACTTCCTGCAATTTTAATTCTGAATTGAACTTTTATAATTTATCCTCTGAAGCAAAATTGGAATTTTTTTTTTTTATGTCAGTGTATAGAAACCTACTGTATTAATCTTCTTTCTGCGTGTTTATGCATCTTTTTATCTGATCCTCATATGAATCTGGTTGTTTAAGATTGCTTGTTGCTCCCGATGAATTTTCATTATAAGTATACATATTATATAAATGTAGGCTCTGTCTTGGAGCATGGTCAGAGCATGGTGAGAAGACAGGTGGCTTTTATGCTTGTAACCGTTATGAAGCAGCGAAGCAAGATGGCATTGTATGAGTACTGTACATCGATTCTGCTCCTGATTGACAAATTATATGTCTATTTTATCTTTGACGCATTTTATTTCCTTTTTTAACCTTTCTGTCCAGTATGATGAGACTGAGAAACGCCGAGAGATGGCAAAGAACTCTCTTGAGAGATATACCCACTATTATGAAAGATGGGCAACCAATCAATCGGTATGTAAATTCTTGCTCATTTAGTTTTCAGAGGTATTATTATAAGAGTTTAGCTTCCTCTTAAGTGGGGAATTTAAGAAAGAGAATTTTAGTAGTCAAATTCAAATCCGTTGTTATGGAACAAATAAAGTCTCTTCATACACCTTAGAGGTACATGTAGCGCCTGTGATGTATTTGTCGGAGAAGGAACCGTTGTTCCTCCAGTTAGGAAATTTATACCAGCTAGTTTATTTATTGGTTGGCTTAAAATTAAAAATCTTATACTGGAGTGACAGGTAGTTAACAAGTCGTGTAACTGCTGGAGCAAAGTACTGTTCTAAAATTCTATGTCATATTAAGCATAGCAATGAAATTAGACTGAGTGAGATTTCATGTTTCCTTTTTGGTAAAATGTATTCTTTAATGAATAATGACCATAATTTTTGTACATAGAGCGCATTGATGTTTATTCTAAATCGAGTTACAAATGTTTTTACTGCTTGCTGCAGTCTAGGCAAAAGGCGCTGGCGGATCTTAAGAAGATGCAAACAGATGATGTGAGCTTACAGTGCAACACTTGCTGATGTAAATAAGAATCATAAGGAAGTATTGCTTGATGACAAAAATATAACTCTGAAATTTTTAGAATTATCATTGGTCTTGCCTCCTCTTCAACCGTCTCGCTGGTTCTTTTACTGTCAGATTTCAGATTTTACACCCAATTAAACATGATGATGATCTTTTACAAGAGATAGCATATATGCCCTTATTTGGTCGTTATCTATTTTGGCATGCATGACACTTATAACTTTCAATAAATGTTCTTGCTCATTATAAATGTTGGGTTTCGCTTAAGTTTTTTTTATTGACTTTACAGATTGAGAAACTCAGTGACATACAATGTCAGCCTGAATCACAACTAAAGTTCATTATAGAAGCGTGGCTACAGGTAAATTACGTTCCTCATGTGGCATGTCTTAGACTTTGGATTTTCACTCACTAATTTTCTCTACAATTATAGATAGTCGAATGCAGACGAGTTCTAAAATGGACATATGCGTATGGTTTTTACATACCTGACCATGAGCACGGCAAGAGACAGTTTTTTGAGTACTTACAAGGTAATGTAATTTAGCTCTCACATTTAACATTAAGTTTGCTTTAATAAATTTGGCCTAGATTCCTTGAGTGTCTTACTCTGTGGTTGTTTTGCTCTGTATTGGTGTTTCCAAGCACGAACAGTTGAACATAAGTTGACAAAAAATATGAATGTTTTTTCCGCTAACATCTTCTAGAAACAAAGAGCGACACCAGTTACCAATTAATGTTCATGCACGAAAATAGTATAAAAGGTTAAACAACCATCATTAATCTTTTGTTTTTTCCAAAATGTTGGATATTATTATTTAGATCCATCAATGTTTCATAAATGCATTGATGGATCTGGTCTTGATTTTATAAAACATCATATAATGTTAGCAAGAAGACCAATGGTTAAGGATATGGATTCTATGGTCAAGCGTCATTCATAACAAATTGGTCTAGCTTAATCCGAATCTGAACCAATATTGTCAGGGTTCAGTTTCATCTTTTGACCCGCTAATTTCAACTTGTTAATTAGTGTGGAGACTTTTGTTTGTAACAGACTGTAATTGTGCTTATCATTTGATTTCTCTTCTTCTGTTATCATGCATATAGGTGAAGCTGAGTCGGGCCTTGAACGACTTCATCAATGTGCTGAAAAAGACCTGAAATTGTACTTCGAGGCCAAAGGTCCATCAGAAGATTTTTACGAGTTCCGCACAAAACTCGCAGGTTTAACAAGGTAATTTCCAAACCTACAGAAACAAAACTGATAAGCTAAACGGATGGCATGTCATGTTTATGCTCGTCACAATTCTAAATGTTGGTAAGAAGTTAATGACACTTTTTATTAATGGGAATGAAATAGTGTCACCAAAAACTATTTCGAGAACTTGGTTCGAGCGCTGGAGAATGGGCTACCGGATGTGAGCTCGCATGGCGCATATGATCGAACCTCAAGCTCAAAGAGCTTAGGTGGTAAAAACAAGGGATCAAGTTCTCGAGCCAGCACCCAATGGTCTTGCGAACGTTGCACTTATGTAAACACAAAGTCGGTCACAATTTGCCAAATGTGTGAAAGTGGTCGGTGAAAAACGCCAGCAAGAACTGTAAATTGTTGGTGTTAAAGACTGTAACAATCATATTTTGGTCAAGTAAGAGTGTCTTTGTAACATTGTATGTTTCTTTTGGAATTGAAATAAAACGGATCCAATAAATTGGAGTGGATATATGAGAGCTGTGTAAGATTTTTCCTTTTTACCACGTTGAGTCCATATCATGCATTGTTGTTACCCGTACCATACGGGTTTCTTCAATCTACATTAGTGATGTTTTTGTGGGCCTGAAGTCCGTGGGCTTATACGGACCTTTCATTAATTTTTAAGTCCGTAACCTGTTTAGTTATATGAAATCATTAGATCCATTTATGTCCGTTTATTATATGGGTTTACCCGCGAAATAAAAGGGTACCCGTGTACCCGAAAAAACAAGTGAAGATGAAGTGGGTCCCATATGAGTGAAAAGTGAAGAGTATCAATATCATCATGTGAGGAAGGCTGTCTTCGGTATCAGTCGAATCTTCGCTCTGACTTTTCCACCTTTTTTGTTTTTATCTTTTCTTTAATTTTCTTTTTTCTTGTCAACATTTATTATTATTTTCTTTTGGTCGGCTAACGTTCCAAACAAAACAAACAATTTTACAACAAACCATGACTGCACATGAACATCTTTTAGATTTTTTACAGTCAAATGAGAGATCGTTGACATTATCGCCTACTTGGTCTGTTGCTTTAGTGTTGACTGTCTTCGTTATTGTTTCTTTAATCGTTGAGCGCTCTATTTTTCGTCTAAGCACTGTGAGTAACCTTCATTTGAATACCTCCACATTGAATCATTTTGTTTTTTCATGATCTTGAACCTTTTCTTAATCATTTTACAGTGGTTAAGGAAGACAAAGAGGAAACCTTTGTTTGCTGCATTGGAGAAGATAAAAAATTTTATGTTTGTGAAAGTTGTTTATAAATTCTCTTTTTTTTTTTAAGTTAAATGTTATTTCTATTTTTTTTTTTTTTTTTTGCAGAGCCTGAAGAAAAAGATCAAGTTTAAATCAAAGATAATCTTTACAAATATTTATTTTATAATTTTATGTTTGTTTGAACAAAGCGTTGATGTTATATTTTTGAATTGGATTTTGTTATTAATTACTTATTTACTTATGAAATGTTGGATTTTGTTTATGATATATGTTTATTCATTTCAGAAAGTTTTATTTTTTAAGATATTATGTTTTCTAAAATATATAAAAAAAACGTAATATATATTTTAAATTTATAATAACATACATAATATTAAAATTCAAATGTAATTTAAATAATTAGATTAAAAAAAAGATAAACGGGCTTAAAAGGGCTATTTAAGCCCGGCGGGCTTCTAAATAAACGGGCTAAAAAATTACAAATATAAACGGGCTTTATATAAGCGGGCTTTAATAGGGCGGGCTTTATACAGGGTTTAAACGGGCCCGGGTAGCCGTAAAAACAACACTAATCTACATATACATTCACATACAACTTCAAAAAACCAATTGGATTATTTAAAGGGAAGAGTTAACCTATGGTAGCAAGCTGACTCTTGTCACCAAATTCACCAAAAGTATTAATTGAAAATGGGAGAGAAGAAATGCGTGAGGCGTGAGCAATGTGTCATGCATGATAGGCTGATAGCCTTTCCACTAGACGAGAGCCATGGCCATGTAGGTTGGTCTACACAATAGTCTTTCCACTGGACGAGACCCTTAATTAGTCACTACAACATCACGATGATGCTTAACCATTTTCTTCTCCAAAACAGCATGAGGTTCCTTTAAATTTCCAAGATCAAGCCAATGTTAGGCAGAGCTTAAGGAGGTTCACATGAAACATATTGTGAATAGCAACCTCTTGGGGTAAGTCAAACTTTCAAGCTTTACTATTCCAACACGATCAACAACTCAGAAAGGTCCATATATAAAGAGAGGGGAGAACTTGTTTGGTACCTTCATATTCTTCATATTCTTGAGGGAATGTTGCCTATATGGTTGAACTTTCAAATATACATAAGTCTCTAATCTTGAACTATGGGCAGATCGGTGAGAATTTGCATATTGCTTCATTCTATTCTGTTCCGGAATTTCAAGATTGTGATGAGCTATTCTCTTTTCTGCAAGCTTTTGTTAACCACTGAAGCGTTATACCACCATTCACCTAGTGGTAACCATTTGCTCCAAGCGTGAGGGGTTTAGGAAGACAGACACCTGAGACACAGCGTAAGCGTAACAACTCGCTTGTTCGTGTTTCGTATATTCGTATGAATAGCCGAACAAAGAGAGAACTTATATAGCTAATTAATTTATATAAATAGCCTAGAAACAAGAGAGATGATACTTATAAAAACTCTGAATAATTCAATAAAACAATTGCCATCTCAAGTTACACCAAAGACAACTCTATACATAAGTTCTTTAAAGAAAACCCTAAACTAATACTTAAGCCCAAGTAAGGATAAATCTCTCATAATTAACTAAAGCCCATGATATATATGAAGGTGCGCTGCATCACTGTGTCTTCTCTTTCTCTCTCTTTCTATGTGTTTTACCTTTGGTTTGGAGGAGGCATATTTTGTTATCTTCACTATTTTCTTCCTTGGGTTGATTTTTTTGTTTTCAAGTTAAAGGCAGTGTTACATGATTTTCTATTGATAAAATTATCTGGAAGTTTAGGTCTAGCCAAGATTCTGAAGTAAGAACCTTATGTGGAGCACACTTTTGAGATCTTCAAAATTTCTTTGATCATAGTTATTTACATTTCTGATGGAGATCTTTAACAGATTCCAGAAACAGATTCTACTGATAGAGTGTAAATGTGGGTTTGGGACATCGTGAAGATTGTACTTGATAAAAATGAATCACGTCTGTTGATATTATGTGAGTATGTAATATCAGTTTCTTCAGACTTCCCTGAAATGCATTGGCATATCATATGGTGACAATGTATTTCATCATTGTTTAGATTTCATGTTCTTCTGTGTTTTTCTTTTTTTTTTTGGTCAAGCATGTCCTTCTGTGTGAGAGATTTTCTTTCTCATAGTGGCATCATCTTCATCAGATTCATCTTCTTCTTTATCGGACTCATCTTCATCTTCATTTTCATCAGACTCATTTTCATCTTCATCAAACTTCACTTTTCAAGGTTTATTTCCCTAAAATGGCAAATGATAAGAATATTTAAGATAACAATTTCTTTTTAACAAAAAACAAGAACAATAGTACCAGCACTGACAATTGGAGGAACATACTTTAATAACCGAAGACAAGTTTAGTTTCAAATAATGAATCCAAAGATATTAATTTTGTGTGACAACATAACATAAAATAATAAAATAACATAGAATGAAAAAAAAAACATATCATAAACAAGTGCATGATAAAAAAAGTACAAAATATGATTAAATAGAGACAAAAGCAAACACATAAATGTGACCCAAGTAGGTCATAAATGTGATCAAACATAGACCTAATTACAAAAACCTAAGCAACATATTCATTACGCAAAAGAAAAATGAACAGTTGATTCTCTATAACAAAATCTTGTTTTCCAATTAGAATTTTTTAAAATTTTTTTTAAACACTACCACAAATTTAAATTATATGTTTTCAAAATATTTGTTTATATTAAAGTATTTTATCTAAACTTTAAATCGTATATAAAGATAATAAACATTTAAGATTATTATAAAATGTTTAGAATAGTAGCAATTAATAGTAATAGATGATTGAGAAGTTATCTGATAACTTTGTATACAATGTTTAAATTAGTGAACAGTAAATTCTAATTTAAAAATAGTGAATCCACACCGAATAATGTGTATGATGGGGGTGAGTTGCGCACAATTCTTTTTCGGAGTTTGACAAAGCCCATTAAAATCGGTCTACTGAATCGATAAAGCCTATCAAAATAACAAGGCCTAATACTCAATTAGGCCCGAGTAGCCTGACCGAGCTAACCCACAAGAATTGACGAGGTTGCACCACCAACACCTTTGAAGAGCAGTTTACCCTACCTGATCGTACGATCTACCCTGACTGACCATACGATTTATAACTTTTACAGTTTAATATAAATAATAATGTATCTCCATTTGTAACAAGATCAGTGATCTGCAATAAATTAATGCTCTGAGTCCTTAACTTCAATACACTTGATCTATTTATCTATTTATCGACCTACTATAGCTCGCTTAAATACTTATCTAACATTTCTTTGCAGTTCATCATTTAATCGACCTATTTTCAACGATCTAATATATTACTTGCGATCAACTCATTTCGATCAAGGGAAAAAAGTTTAAAAAATTCTCAACTATTTTTGCATGTTTCCTACCCGAATTTTTTTGCGTTGCCAGAAATCTACACAAACTAATATTTTAGATCAAAAAAATATCTGAAATATTTTATGGTTCTAGTTTTCACCCACAATTTCACTGTCGTTAATGGTCAAACGAAATTAGTAAACTCCCTTAGTTTCTAAAATAAGAAAAAAACTTAGAAAAACCCTCAACTATTTAATTTTTGTCAAAAAAATACCTGAACCTTTTACGTTATTAGAAATCCACATTAGCTAAAAAAAAATTAATGTTAAATGACATTTTATTTTTAATACCAAAATATCAAAGAGTTTACAACAACTAAAAAAAGTTGTTACCAATAGAAATCGAAATAAATTACGATATATATATATATATATTTTTTTTTTTTTAAATTACGATATATTTGTAGCTAAAGATTCTGCAGATGAGTGATTTATTTTTACTTTTGGACTAATTTAACCTCCAATGAGATGATCTTTGTAGATGATCAAAAATATTTATCATACTTTATCTCAGTTAATCACCTGCTAATTTATATTTTTTACTATATTATGAGCCACTGAGATCACCGTTCCAAAAAGTCGATTAGTTAGGAGCTTATATTCTAATCGCCTTTCGGAATAGATATGGTCAGAAACTAACCAATACCAAATGAATAACCATCAGCGAATGAAGTTGGGGAGAACCATTAATGGATGTAAAGTAGTGGGATAGAAGCTGAAACCGTATAATATTTCAGGTTTTTTTTACACTGGAAAATTAGCTTGCGTGAGTTTTCAGCAACATTAAAAGTTTGAGTATTTTTCTAGCGAAGATTAAATAGTTG